CACAACGGAGTTCCTCACACACATAAATGTACACACACACACACACACACAGTGAGCCCTACATAGGCAGCATTTACTGCATCTTAAGCACACTCCCAATCTGAAGGCTGTTCATGATTATGCCTTCAACAGTAACCTCTTTTGGACAATACTAACCCTGTGAAACACTAATAAGCATAAAAATAGGTCAAACAGTCATTATCTTTATGTATGTTGAACTATTTCTAGATACTTTTTCTGTACTTTGCACATTATGTATAAAGGGATTGCCTTCTCTGCAAAGTATACGTGATGCTGCCTTACATTAATTTAATTAAATAATGTATAATTGTTTGTCATAACACCATTCCCCTATTTTATTTTATTTTCTGTTGATATTGTATTTTAGTTCATATTTAGTTTGTTTTATTTTATGCATTTTTAATAATAATAATAACAATAACTATTATTATTGTTGTTGTTAGTAATATTTAGTTTATTATTGTGTTGTTTTATTATTAATAATAATTTTATTATTTATTATTTTATTCATTTTTATTTCTAAAATATCTTAATAATTAATGTATTAATATTATTATTATTATCAATAGCAATAATAATTGTAGTAATAATAATAAATTGTAAAATAATAAAAATTTGTTGCCTTATTATTTATTAGATTTTTTTATTTTTTTTTATTTTTTATGCTGTTTTGTTGATGCTTTTATTGTTTTATTTTTTTTTTTAGATTTTTATATTTTTCATTTATTTTCAATAGCAATAATAATTGTAGTAATAATAATAAATTGTAAAATAATAAAAATTTGTTGCCTTATTATTTATTAGATTTTTTTATTTTTTTTTATTTTTTATGCTGTTTTGTTGATGCTTTTATTGTTTTATATTTTTTTTTAGATTTTTATATTTTTCATTTATTTTGTTATTATTTTCTTATTTTCTTGTATTATTTTGTATTTTAGTTTAAAATATTTAATGCGGCTTTCCTTTATTTTATTTTTAATTTAATTTAATGTAATTTTTATTTAAATTTTTTTATTTTTTTTTTAAATTATCATAGAAACCGGTAAAATCGAGGTCTGTGTTGTGCACATAATACATTATAGAATTGCCTTCTCTGCAAAGAATACATGTGATGCTGCCTTATAATTTGGCTAAAACATATCTTAGAAAGCAGCATAATTATGTTGCCTACATTTTGGAAAATTTTTTGGGGGGAGTGCATCTATGAAGCTTTAAAATGCAGTCTTCATTGCTCTTCCAGATCACTAATGCATCATCACGGTCCTTGTGGTTATATATAGAGATTGTGAATGACAGATTGTGAATATCTGAAATCGAATGTGCTCTGAATGTTATTTTAGGACGGGAGAGCCGACCAAAACCAGGAAGCTGGCCTTCTTCACTACGTGGCACAGACGGGACCCAGAGCCAGGTACAGTAACACTGCGGTCACGTTGCCATGACGTGACACAGTTTCACACTGTAATTACCAAACTCACCACAGAGAAAGCAGAGCAATATCACCATGGTAATCATGTTTTGTTGAGACTGTGACAAGAGTGTGGATTGTTTTAGTAATGGCATCAGAATCTAAACTAAACCCTTTCAGACGGATCCAAACGTCTGACTCATGTTTTTAGGCAATAAGGATGGGCGCTCACGGTCAGTTTTGCTAGCATTTCAACAAAAAGAAATTTATATTTTTATTTGGCAAAGATGCATTACATTGATCAAGAAAGACAATAAAGACATTTATAATGTTGCAAAATTTATTTAAGTTTCAAATAAATGCTGTTCTTTTGAACATCTATTCATCAAAGAATCATGAACAAAAATGTATCACTGTTTCCACAAAATATTAAGCTATTTCGAACATTGATGATGATCAGAAATGTTAAGCATATTAGAATCAGCATACAAGAATGATTTCTGAAGGATCATGTGACACTGAAGACTGGAGTAATGATGCTGAAAATTCAGCTTTGATCACAGGAATAAATTACATTTTACAATGTATTCACATAGAAAACAGTTATTTTAAATTGTAATAATATTTCACAATATTTCCGTTTTTGCTGTATTTTTGATCAAATAAATGCAGCCTTAATGAGCATGAGACTTTTTTCAAAAATATTACTGATAATCTTACTGATACCAAACTTTTGCTGTTGATTATTATTATTAATAATAATAATATTAATATTATTATAGTAATTATTGTGATTATTCATTAAAATATTTTTATTTTATTATTTAGTGTTATTAGGCATTTTTATTTTATTTTTGTTTTTTTATCTTCATTTTGTTTTGTTTTATGTTGTTGTTTTCTTGATTTCTTTTGTGTTTGTCTTTTGGAAAATGCTAATGCTGTGAAACTCACATACGCATAGAAATAGATCAAATAGAGGTAAAATAGTTCATTTTAGGTTCAGATGCTTTTTCTGTATTGTGCATTATGGAATTGCCTTCTCTGCAAAGATTATATATTTTATATCCTTTTTGGTCACTTTATGGAAGCAAACAAACAAACAAACAAAAAAAGTATTTTTGCGAGATAATGCAGAACCGTGCAAATATGGGCACATTTATAAAACAGATAGTCCCGGTCCTTGATTCTAAATTGGCTGAGCCACGTTCAAAGCTGTTGTAAATTACTCAACAAACATACACCTTTGTTTACGGCAACCACTGTGTTGGAACCACAACTGATTCTGAGGAACTACATTGTTTGGCGGAAGAATACTGTTACTACGTATATGGAATAACCGTTTTATAAAAGCAATAAGCCTCATGAAGCCGTGGTTTACAGTGAATTTATAACAGCTAAGGGGGTTTTACTCCACTTCGCGTCGTGCCTAACAACGCCCCTTAGCTGTTATAAATTCACTGTAAACCACGGCTTCATGGGGCTTATTGCTTTATTCTACTGTCTCATAGTAGGCCTTCAGTAGAGTAACGAGTGTTGCTGCCGCGGTCATCAGTGATCATCCATTAGTCTGCGGGGATTTTAATTCTGCATCATGTGGTTTCGGCGAGCTTCTCATCTCCTCTGGCTCTGTTTTGGCAGTTTGTCCCATTCAGTTTCCTGTAATCTTGCGGGATTCTCTGGAAGTTCTCTTCTTGAATGACAACCAGCTGGAGTGTGTGCCGCCGTCAGTGTGTGCCATCAAGAACCTCTCCGAACTCTATCTGTCCAAGTGAGTCGCAGGGAATCATGGGAAATGTAGTTTGTGCAGCAGCGTGCATCATCATTTCTTCCACTTTATTACACGCCTCTCTGGAATACTTGATTGTGATTGGTCAATTGCAGCATTCAGGGGTCAGATGTTATTTTTGATATAGCTATTAGATTTGATGCTATTAATATTAGATATTAGACTTCAACTTATTTTAGGTAGTTGCCAAGGAACCATTTCTACATTTTAAAAGTTTTTTTTTTTTTAAAGTTGAAGTATTGAAATTAATACACCTAAAACTGAAATAAAATAAATTAAAGCTAAAATATAAAAACAAACACATAAATAACTAAAAATGTCAAAAGCATAACTAAATTACTAAATTAAACTTATTTTATTTGAACTATAAATATAAAGTTTTAAAAATAGTACAATAATTTAAGATGATTTAAATATTTTGATTAAATGAAATTAAAATTAAAATGTCAAAAGTACATATCAGAATTACTAAAACTTAAAATTACAACTGGAATAAATAAATAAAATCACTCTTTCTTCTCACATAATAATATAATTTCACCTCAAATGAATATTTACATGTTCATGTATTAATTTATGATGTTTAATGTCATTTAATGTTTAATGTATAAAAGCCAAGAAAACAATCCTGTAATGCATTGTAATAAGCGCAGTAAAAATGACAGATGGAGAGAAATAAAAAAAATCATAGAATTTTAATATGTGATTATTATTTTATTGAAGCTATGACTATAAAGTATTAAACATAGTACAACAATTTAATTTACGAAAATGTTAATATTGAATTAAAAGTGAATATTTTATTATAAAACAGATAGTTCCGGTCCCTGATTCTGATTGGTTGAGCCATGTTCGAAGCTGTTGTAAATTACTCTTCAAACATACTCAGAGTTGCTGACTAGGTAGAGCTTTACAGTTCAGTCACTTAAGAGGTTAAAATTCAGTTAAACAGCAAGGCATTGCACTAGGTTTTGGAGCAGAGCCCAACAATCACAGTGCGTGATTCAGGGTTTTCACAGTCAAGAGTTGCAAAAGTAAAACTAATATGCAATATCAAAAGGGCTTGTTCATCTCTCCTGCTTCCTGCTTGAGAAACTCTCAGGATGTGATGATGTTGTGTTTGGACTTCCGTAGCTTTGATGTTAATCCTTCCTGTTTCTGCAGTAATCCAGGTATCCAGGAGCTTCCTATTGAGCTCGGGCAGCTCTCCAACCTCTGGCAGCTGGACATCGAAGACTTGAACATCACCAACATCCTCGCAGACGTCAGGAAAGATGGTACTCCAGTCACACAAACACAGCTCGGATCTGCTTGAATCGCAACTTTTAATTGTCAAGATTGCATTTCAACAAAACATGCAGCAATAAAATCTCACATGAATATCATGAATTTAGCTTCTTGAGCTTTGATCAGGATAAAAAAATACAAAAACTTTCACGGTGGTTCAGCAAATGCTGGTTAATTTTTTTTTAATCAAATAGCGGGATTTTACAAAAATGCTAAACAGGTTTATTATCATTAACTGGATTAAAAGTATTACTTTTTTAATCATTGAAGTAAGCCTGAAATAAAACTAATTTCGATTAGTGGCCAAGGCAGCATTTTTTAATATGTCCTTTTAGTTTATGTACTAAAAACATTAAAATTACTAACTGGAAATAAACAAAAAACTGAAACAGAACAAACAAAAACTGGAAAAAAAAACAAAAAAACTAAGTAATAATATAAAAAAGACCAAATGAAATTAAAAAAAAAAAAAGTAAATTAAAATGAAAACTGAAAATATAAAAATAAAAGCTTATTAAAAATATTAATAAAATCTATAATAATATTATCTACTACATACATACTAGTGGTCGACCGATATATCGCCAAGGCCGATATATCAGCCGATATTTGGCATTTTTCAAATATCGCATCGGCCGATACGTTTTTCTGTTTGGCCAATGTGTTCGAGGTCGGACTTATTTTGACGGCGCTGAGAATGGCAGCACCTGAGAGCGCACACCGCTCACATTCTCCCTCTTGTTCGCTGTCGTCGTTAACAGTTCTGTCTAATACAGATAGAAGTCTGTCTAATAATCAGATAGAACTGTTAAACAAAGGAATTAAAATGTATTCAAAAAAGTATTATAACGATTGCTTTAATATTATTAGTAATAGAAAGGCAAACATTATAATACTTTCTCATTGCCATCAGCATTCAGCAAATAGATCTTGTGAAGTGTGCATGTGACCTGCATGATCGCGTGTTCTCTGTGTGACGATCGGTCCATATGAATTGAATGCTGACAGGAGGAGAGTTCTGCTTGACTGGAGACGTGCGATCGACAAACTTTAAACTAGTGATTTCAAATTATGCTGCGCTTTATGCATTTGCCCACTG